ACTCTTCTGATTTTTTCCCCAAATACTTAAAAGTATAAAAGCCATTCTAGCTTATAGACCATTATTTGCAAGTTGTATTTGGGTCATGAGCTTTAGTTTGCCAGTTCCTAAACTTAACATAAATCATTCAGTAACTAATGAGAACAGCCAATTAACTAGAATTTAAATTCCACAGAAAAAGAAATCTGTTTGCTAGCATCTAGAACACCCTGCTCAATATATATTTGCTGCATGAATATTTCAGTGGGAGTGCTAAATGTACAAAAATTATCAATGTAGTATCTTCCACTCAAAATTATCATATATTGCATAATAAATCTAAGTAAAGAACGAATATTCTGGAAGTTTAGCAAATATGAATTTCAGATAAGAAAATCTAAAATATCAAATTATTAGAAGCATTAAAAATGTATGTTAGGGCCGAGGATTTAGCTCAGTGGTGCCACCACCTGCCTTGCAAGCTCAAGGTCCTGAGTTTAATTCCCCAGTACCAAAAAAAAAAAAGTATGTTAAAAACATATAAATTCTAAAAATAAAGCAAAATTACAATAATACAGAAAGCACTAAATGCTACATGAAAAAAACCCACAGTGTAAGAGTTAACCAATAGAAAAAGGTCTACAAATGATAAATACCATTGTAATTTTAAAAAATAAAGAAATCAATGAATGGATTAAACAGCAGATTAAATATAGCTGAAGATAAAAGTTAGTGAACTGAAAGACAGACTTGAGGAAATTATCCAGAATATGATTTTGAGTGTGTGTTCCTTTATCTTTTTCTTTTTCAACATAAAATGTGGGTTAAGGGTTATGAAACAAACGATGGTCCTACTATGTCTACCAGGAGCTCCTTGCCCCAATAAATGTAGAAGGGCAACATTCACAGAGATAATGGCCAATATTTTTTCCACAACAAAACATGAATGTGTTATATAACAAGATATGGTGAAACTATTTCTAAAGGCAAAAATTATTCTGTGGAACAAAAAAGGATATTTTAAGACTGTGAACCAAAATAAAGACTTTTTCCTAATTCTATTCTCATTTTCAAATATAGAAAAAGGGCCATCAGGTATTAGTTTAAACCAATGACCCATATGGACCTACATTACCCACAAGCCATTCAAAATCAAGGGATATGTGAGTTTCTTGGATGCACAAAGACTTTCTAAAGCATAACAGGCATGGAAACATTCAGCCAAATTAACTTCTCAATGTCCTTTTTTCTACCTTAAAAACTGATTTACTGTAAAACTTAACTGTAGAAAAAGTATGATACAGGGCTGGGGAATTAGCTCAGTGGTTCTGCCGCCTGCCTTGCAAGCACAAGGACCCAAGTTTGATCCCCGTTACCAAAAAAAAGGGAAAAGTATCATACAGTATTTCCTTTCCCAATAACCCCCTTTCCACTTTACAAAACAAAGATCTACCTGTTTTAGAGTCCAAAAACCTTCAAGACAATCTGAAATATTCGTATCTAAAATCTCTTTTGTTGTACAAAACAGTTTTTTGTGCCTTTCCATATTTTATACATATATTTCTGTCAAAGGTGAAGCATGGGTTAAAAGTTTGGTATTTTGGGCCAAAGCAAGATTTGGTTAATTCAGCTATACTGCAAAACAGAAAAGCAAAAGTGATGAAAATTTGCATTTGCTAGCTTCATATTGTTAGAATAATATTGCTCCAAGGGAAAATGAAGGAAAAATAATTCAAAGACAAAAAAAACCAGAAACTGAAATTTGCCGTGCCTTATCATGACCAGATTTTAAAAAAACAGCTTAAAACCAAAGCCATATTTTTCTATATCAGAGTTCTGACATGAAATGATTACCATGAAGATGTGAATTTATATCTATATTGAAATGAAAAACAGACTTTTACATCTAAAAGACTGGTTTCACTATGTGAACAGGCATGTTGGTACATATCTGTGATCCCAGCTACTCAACAAGCTGAGGTAGGAGGATCACAAGTTCACAGCCAGCCTGGGTGCCTTAGTGAGATCCTATCTAAAAATTAAATTTAAAAGAGGCTAGGAATACAAATCTGTGGCAGAGCACTTCCGTAGCATGTGTGAGGCCCTGGGTTCAGCCTTCAGTACGTGAGGAAGGGAGCGGTGGAGGGAGAAAGGGAAAATTCCATAGTACTGAGAGAAACAATGTCCAATGCAGTAAATTCTTCAATCCTTATGTTAAAAAGAAATCTTTAATTATGACAAAAGAGAGATGTTGCAGAAAGAGAAAATACAGAAATAAAGGGAAAAAAGTAAATTTTCTGAGAAATGTTATTTTATTTTTCATAGTGCTAGAACTGATTGATACGCAGGGCCTTACACATGCTGGTAATCACTCTATCATCGAACTATATCCCCAGCCTTGGAAAAAAGTAAATTTAAAAGTCCTTGAAAAAAAAAGTAAAAACCAAAACAAAATTAAATACTATTAAATTATTTAGTTCAGGAAATATGTAAAGAATGCACTATGTCAAACTGGCAGAAGTCTGATCACATACTCTGCAATACTTTAAGGAAATAGGAACTTTTATACATTGCTAGTGGGGATGTCACATGTTAACGACTCTGAGTGATAAATTAGGCAATAGCTAAGCTAGCAAAATTACATGTGAATCTCCCCTCTGAAATTGCAAATGCAATTCTAGCAATCTATCCCACAAATATATCATAAAGATATGATTAAAAATACATGTACAATACAAAGCTTTATTAAAGCACTACGTATAATAGTAAAAGTCTTAGGAATATCTGTTTACCAGCAGAGGGCTGAGTATCTTGTATATCCATTGAGTGGGGTACAGAACAATAAAAGGAATGATAATGATCTCTCTACAGAGGGATCTGCACAGTATACTATGAAGTTTTTAAAAAAGTACAGACACTTTCTCTAAAAAGGCTGATATAAATCCCAGCACTCAGGAGCCTGAGGCAGGAGGATTAGTGTGAGTTCCAGACCAGGCTGGGCTACACAGTGAATTCAAGGCCAGCCTGAACTACATAGCAAGATCCTATCTCTACCCCCGACCAGTGGTGTATGTTTGTATTAAAAATAGCAATAATGAAAGGCTAAAACAATTTTTTTGGGGGGGTACTGTGGATTGAACTCAGGACCTTGTGCTTGCGAGGCAGAGGGCGGAACCACTGAGCTAAATCCCTGACCTGTCCTAAAGCAATTTTTAAACCAGGTTGATTGTAGGGGTGAAAAGGAATAGAGGGAATCTGGACAAAAACTAAACATCTCAGAATATAATTTCTTTTGTAGCTGTGACATGAACCATGTAAATTTCTTTTACAGAATTATAAATTAAACCAAAATGAAAATAAAAAAGCAATTTCTTGAAATAAAAAAATGGAAGAAAAAAAACCCAACTCTCCATTCAGCTGGACAAAGTACCAATGAAGAATAAGCAATTTCATGTGATCTCAAAACCGTAATTTAACCACACATTCCTAGTGAGATATGCCTGGTGATGCCACCAAAAATAGCATGGATATAAGGAAAACTATTCTTAAATCATTTTATTAGAAATTAAGTCAGTATTAACATTGTGAAATATTTTATATTTTTAATAAGACAAAGCAAGTAAGTAATTCAACTAATATCCGGAAAGAATAAACTCAAAAGCCGTAAAAACGACTGAGTTGGCACACACCTGTAATCTCAGCACTCTGGGAGATTGAGTCAGGATTCCAAGTGAAAGTCCATCTGGACAACCTGGGAGAGCCCCTGTCTAAAAATTTAAAAATGAGGGAGGGAGGGCGTCTGGGGATATACCTCAGTGTAATGGCCCTGGGTTTAATCCACAGCACCAAAGGGTAGGGGGAGAGACTGACATATTTGATGGCATAAGGAAATACATTTTCTCAAAGCCAATAGTTATCATAAACAGAGGGGAAAAAAAAGCCCAGTGAAGTAACTGGGTTAAAATACAGCTATGTGCTGAATACTGATGTTTCAGTCAATGACAGATTGCATATACAATGGTCCCATGAGATTATAATGGAGATGAAAACTTACTGTCATCTACTGACAGAATAGCCATTATACTGTGTTGGTGGTGATGCTTGTATAAACAAACTTACTGTTCAGCCAGTTGTATAAAAGTTTAACACATACAATTAAGTATGTATTAAGTATTAATATATAATTTTTAAAATGATAATAAACAACTGTTACTGGCTTGCATATTTACTGAACCTTTTCTTATTTTTAGAATGAACTCCTAGTTACATAACAAAAAATTTTAAAAATGTTTACTTTATGCTGTCATACCCCACAGCAGCCTCTTACATCTTGTATTTACTGCATCTCTTGATCTACATTGAGCCCAAGTCCAGAGACTGACGTATACCACCCAACTTTGTGTGTGAGCTCTACAATTTTCACACAAGTAAAGTGCATAAGAACACATTTCTCAGAATTTATTTCTGCCATTAAGCAATGCATGACTATATCAGCAACTAGTATCACGGCAAAGGACCAGCTTCTCCAAAATTGTATTTCATCAAACCTAAGAAACTGTTGTAAGATGTACTATTGTTTAAACCATGTCATCTATCATTATAAAATGTATAAATTTCAGATGTCAATGTCTTAGACACATAAAAAGAATCTTACGAATAATACTGTAAACACCAAATAGAAAAATGGACACAAGATATTAACTGACAATTATCAAAAAAGGAAACAGAAATGGACTACATATATGAAAGTGTTCAACCTCATCCATAATAAAAGAAGTGCAAATGAAGACTATATGATACTATTTTCATTGGTAAAGATTAAAAGGTTGATCTTATTATGATAGAAATGTAACACAAAGCTAGCTAACAAGTATTTCCATAGGGATAAAAAAGTAGTTGGTAATACTATTTGCCTCTGGGGTGGGGAAGTTGGGGTTGGGCTTACAATTTAAAAACATCTTTCTTCAAAGTGGAAATCTGTAGAATATAACTTAAAAAAATTTTTTTATAGCAACACTTGCCTTTTTTCCTTTTGAGGTTTCAGAATCCTTATCATCTTCTACACTGAGCAGATTTGCCCCACTACATAGAAAATAAGGGGAAAGAATTTTAAGTAACAATTATAATCTATACATTAAATTCAGAAGTTTTATCTTCTATGCTCACCTAATTCAAGTAATCAGTAAACTTTTTCAGTTTACTGAAATCAGTAAAGGACCAGATAGTAAAATATTTTAGGCTTTGCAGGCTACATTCATGGTCTCTATGGTCTCATCTTTGCCAATGCAATATGAAAATAGCCATAAACTACAGGCAGCTGTATTCCAATAACATTTTTAACGATCGGGTCGGTGGCAGGCAAGATTGAGACCATAGGCCACAAATAAATCTTGTTTTTTAACTATGGATTTTGTATATTATATCATTCACTTTTCCTTTCTGTCTTTGACCGACATTTAAAGAAGCAGAACAGGAAAACAAAATACAGTACAGGAGAAGAAAATACACTGTTAAAGAAAGAAAAAAAACAACTAATAAAAAACAGCACCTTAAAACAAATTTTTTAATACAACCATGATGATCAAAATCAAACATACCTTTTTGAAGACAATTCTGGTAGGTTTTTTATAATAAAATTCTAGCTATTTAAAAAAATGCAAAATTTTTGTTTCACTACTTTCATATATACCCTGACTTGTTAATGTTAAAAATTCTTACATTTTGTAAAAATGTTTGAAAGGGAGTGTATTTTCTCTTCAGCTGAATTTCTTATTTATTTCTATTTTTTCTGAACTATAAAAATAAGTCCTTAACAGAAAGTTAAAAAATTAAAAATCAAAACAAAAACAGAAAGAAGACCATAAAATAGTGACTTTAAATGAGAAACTTACTAGTTCAAAACTCCTTCAAATAAAACTTCAAGGCACATAAAGTGGTAACAATGAATGGAGCTGCTGCCCAGACAGATGTGAGGTCTCTAAATATATTCAGTCAATATGCTCTGAATGACTTGTGTAAAGATTTCTAGAATATATTTATAATTTTGTAGAACTTTGTGTGTATATTCATGTTTCTCTAAATTTATTTACTAGTCAGTAAGTAATCAGAGCAGGAAAAAACTAAAAGCTGCTGAATTTGTAGCATGCCACAGGATGTGCAATAAATTCTACTGCAACTGAAGTTTTTACACAGCATTCATTCCCATTACATTAACAAAGTGTAATGAAAATTCTGCTTAACTTCGGTCTGGGTAAACACTTGGGTTTATCATTTACATTGGTGCTTTCTCTGACAGGAATCTCATCTAAGATCAAAGTAGTGGTAGTAGTGTCACAAAAAGGGAAGAAAGATACAGGATTAAAATCTTCACACAAAATTGAAGAGTCTTAATCTGGGTTCAGTTACACAAAATAAATGATGGATTTTCAAACTGCTCCCCAAACAGAATGCCTTTTTCTTTTTTTAACAAACATGTCCTTAATTTGAAATCTGTTGTACAATCAATTTCTTTTTGTTTTGGTACCGGGGATCAAACTGGGGTCCTTGGGCTTTCGAGGCAGGCGGCAGAACCACTGAGCTAAATCCCCAGCCCCTGTATGATCAATTTTTGAACCACAAGTTTACATGTATTATATTTGTACATTTCAAAAGACTGAGAAATATAACAGCAAAATAATTTACCAGTAAAGAACCGCTATGTCATTCCTTAATAATACCATGTAAGAGTTAAATGTCCACCTTTTCCCCGGTACTGAGAATTAAACCCAGTGCCTTTGTACTGAGCTATATCCCTAGTTCCTTAAAAAAAAAAAATTTTTTTTTTAAATTTTGAGACACAGTCTTGCTAAGTTTCTAAAATTGCTCAGACTGAGCTTGAATATGCAATCTTCTTGTCTCAGTTTCCAAGAGTGCCAGGATTACAGGCATGTGCCACCATAGCCAGCTGAAATGTTTTCATAAGTGAAGAATAGTACCATACTTCAAAAGTCTTTCCGCTGGGTGTGGTGGCACACACCTGTAATCCTAGCACTTGGATGCTGAGGTGGAAGGATCACCATGAGATCAGGGCCAGCCTGGACTACATAGTGAGTTCAAGGCAAGTCAAGGCCAGCCTGAATTACAGAGCAATACCCTGTCTCAAAAAACCAAAATAACAATAAAAACAAAAAAATCTTTCTACAGAATATAAATTGTTTTTGTAATAAAAAGTTCCATTCTTATAAAATAATTGAGGGGAAAAAATCCTTACTCTTTATCTGTATCTCCTTCATTTTCTTCTTCATGATCAAAGCTCCAATTATTTTTAAAACCTCCATCTCTCTTAGACTCTGATCTAGTCAAAGCTGAAATAAAAACAAACTGAGATAAGTATTCATTAATAGAATTATTCAGTATATAATAAATTTGAGCATTTCTCAAGCTTTTTGATTAGTCTAGATTTTCCTTAACTTGGTTACTTTTGACTTCTTGTAAACATTTTACTTCCACAGAGAAAAAGAACACATTAAAATCTGTTTTTGAAAAAATTTACAGTCATCCATATGAGAAACACAGCCAGGTAGTTAGCCTTTGCCTTAAATTCAATGATCTTTGCCTTTTAACAGAAGACAAACAAAAGGTTCTTTGTATCACACTGTGATACTGTGGTTAATTTTATGACCAGAAATACTCTAGATCAGAATATCAAAGATGCTCATACCAATGTTAAAAAAATGTCCTAAGTACACGGCTTACCCCCTCCCCCCAGCTGCCCTAAAGCCACAAAGTGGGAAACTCAAAAGTGAGACAAATGACATTCCAAAGCTGGCATTTGTCTTGGAACTACATGACAAAAACCTGCTATCCTAGAACCTGGTATTTAAGTTTAGAGTAGCAATAAGATGAGAGAAGTCAGGGTGAAAATCAGAGGACCCAAAGAGCAGCATCCTGATTGGGTGAACCAGAGGGAGGTTAAAGAGGAAACACAAAAGAAAAGACAATAGGGATAACTGATGTGTTACCCTTGGCTCTGGGTTTCCGAATTGATCTAAAGACAAAATATGTCTATCTTATGGTATGTGCTACAGTCTAAATATTTGTGTCCCTTCAAAACTCAGATGTTGAAATCTCAACCTCCAAGATGGAGGGAGAGGGCTGGGGATTTAGCTCAGAGAAGCCGTGCCTGCCTAGCAGTGCAAGGTCCTGAGTTTGATCCCCGGTACTGCAAAAAGAAAAAAAGAGGTAGAGCCTTTGGGAGATATGGAACAGAGTCCTCATGGATGGGATCAATGCCCCTATAAAACAAACCTAAGGGAATTTCTTTGCCCTTCCACTACTGGAAGACACAGTCAGAAGGTGCCATCTGAGAAAGTGGACCCTTACCAGATCCTGAATTTGGACACTTTAATCTGACTTCCCAGCCTCCAGAATCATGAGAAATTTACTGTTTAAAGGGAATCCAGTACATGATACTTTATTACAGGAGTCCAAATAGACTAAAACAAGAAATTTCCAACCATAAGCCCACAATTACTAAAGATTGAGGCCAGAATTTTCACAACCTAAAAAGAACAGAAAAGTCTGTAATTAAAATAGTCCCCTCTTTGGTCTCAGATGCTGAAGCAAGATGAAAAGAATGTTATTATTTGTAAAGCATTGTGACAAAATACCCACAATGGAACACTGTAGTGACTCTAAGGCCTATCACTTTCAGAAGTTGCCCTGTGGCAAATGTGACTCCCCTCCCAAGCATAAGAGAAAGTACACTGGGAGTGCCAAGGCTAAAAGACGAAATAACCATCAGGACTACTCAAATGAGGCACCTAAAAATTGTATGCCACAGATTCAGGTAGATTTCATGAAAGAATACCACCTAAACCCATGAGGGCAACTACTGTAGCATCTAGATAAATGTTGAGAATTTCAATGACTGGCTAAGCAAATGTTTCAGCTTTTAAAAATAACTAAATAATAAAAACCCAAAATCCAAAACCCTCTGATGAAAAGATGCTCAACATTATTAGCTAACAGGGTAATGTGAATCAAAATCATAATGACATGCTACATCTCACCCATTAAGATGGCCTCTTTTTGTTTTAACGGGAAGTGGTTTCAGCTGGGACTGGGAGAAACTGGGACTCTTATGCACTGCTGGTAGGAATGTAAAATAGTATAACCACTATGGAAAAAGTCTGGCGGTTTCTCAAAAAGTTAAAACACAGAATTACCAACATGATCCAGCAATTCTGGATAAATAAATACCTCTGGGTATATATTCAAAATAACTGAAAGCATGAACTCATTTTGTACACCAATGTTCACAGCAGCATTACTCACATTAAGTCAAAAGGCGGAAACAATCTAAATATCTATCTGCAGGTGAATGTGTAAATAAAACACACATACATACATACACACACTGCAATATTATTCAGCTCTTAAAGAAATGAAATTCAATATATGCTATACCATGAATTATCCTGAAAATACTATCCTTGGCGAAATGAGTAAAGGACAAATATTGTGTAATTTGACACTTATGAGGAACTTAGAATAGGCAAATTCATAGAGACAGAAAGTAGAATACAGGTTACCAGGGGTAAGAGGGAGGAGTGGAATACAGTTATTTTTTAAATAGATACAGAGTTTTTGTTTGAAATGATGAAAAAGTTCTGAAATTGGATGGTGGATGGTTATACAACACTGTGAATGTACTTAATGCCAATATTTAAAAATAATTAAAATGGCAAATTTTATGTTATGTACATTTTATCACAGTTAAAAAAACTAAGGGAGGAAGCCTCAATGTGAGCAACACGAGCAAACATAAATCCTCTCTAAAAATACATAAAACATCAAAGAAAAACATCAAAGAAAATCAAAGAGAAAAAAACATGAGTCCACAACCAAAAATATGAAATAGGAGGAAACAATTTATGGGGAAAAGAACTTGACATACAGTTAAGTGAGGCATATAGGACTCCAGCTAGCCTTGATCAAAAAACATCTACATATAGGCATATAATAGTTAGGATTCCAGAAATCCAACAGAAGAATAAAATTCTACAAGCAGTGAGAGAAAAGAAACAAATCACATACAAAGGAAAGCCCATCAGAATCACAGCAGACTTCTCAATGC